CTCCTCAGTGATTTTACCTTTGTCCACTGCGGTCCCGGATTCTCAAAACGGGCTTCGTTACGCTCTCTGGCATCAATAAGATCGTGGGCACACTCTACGAAATCCCGGTCTCTTGGAAGTGAGCCAGGACGATCCACGTAGTGGTTGAGTTGCACTTTTATGACACTCCTTATGAACTCCAATTTTTGGGCTCCCTCTGATTGGCCACAGGCTTCTACCATTTTTTCAGTAAGTCTGTTATTTGCAATAAACAGTTTTTCAGCAAATACACCTTCGGATTGCCCTTGATTCCTTCGTTCCTTAAGCAAATAATATACATCCTCTTCCGGGGTCCATCTTCCTCCGCCATATAATTTCTTTAGCCTTACTTTCAGCGTGTCCCAGGAGTGTGTCAAATCGCCTTGAATGGCATTTAAAACCCGCCTCGATATACGACCAATTAGAGACGTCTCGAGAAGACTCACGTCGGAATCCAGTAGTGTACCCTCTTCTCTTCGGGACATTCTTTATCTGATCACCTCCCTTGATAAAATGGTCAACATTGCCTATTACTCCGGTAAAAGGTTCTAGTTGACTAATTACTTCATGGATAAAAGCTGAATTCTGCGTTCGTATCTTCAATAGTTCTAGCTGCATAATGTCTGTCGCCTTAGTCAGCTCATATTCTAACTTCGAGTGCTTTACCGCCGCCTGAGCCAGTTCATATTCAAGTTTTGCAAGTTTTTCTTCTCCCATAATTATGTACCGTATAGCTTTAGATTTTCAGATCACTAACTACTTAAATGAACTTGACTATACCTCAGAAATCTTCGAGTTTCGGCACCAGTTATGATTCGAGTGAAGAAATAACAACACAGCTTGTGGGAATGAGGTGGCTTTATTTCGAACTCTTATATAAGTTTTCTACACTGTATTAACACAACACTTTTGTAACCTCACCTGTTGTTTATATATCAATTCTCTATATTAACATGTGTTTTAACATGTGTTTTAAACAATTATTTAGCTTATCTAAAGAATAATCTTATATACATCCTATATACAGTTAATTTATATATATATATATATATATATATATATATATATATATATATACAAGTTTTAATTTTTATATTGCTGCAATCTTTACAATTAAATATTAAATGACAGCAGAACAAACATTTATGTAAACCGAACATGTATAAGTAAATAATGTAATCGGAACCAGTTCACTAAGCTTTAGGGTGCGCTCGGATTTCTTCGGCAGTTCTCGACTCTCATTATCACCTCATTACTCCGATGGCCCGCGAGTTACAATTCCCAATCTATCGATACCTTCTCTTATTTCTCTTATATTTCAAGATCAATTTTTTTTTTTCACTGTTTATATTTAACCATTCTTATTATTATCTGCAGTGTGCTACATTGTTCACACAAACACTAACACAGAACATTTTGTGGGACTTGGTTATTTGGACTCATGGGGCCTCAAAACGTATACATCCGTTGAAAACTCGGCTTTCGAAAATTTTTACGATCGCAATATTTTCTCTTACTATTTACTACATAAATAGATAAGTGAAAGTAAAAACAGCATAAATATAATACATTTGACGGCTGTGAAAAATCTATGGTAATTAATTGTTTTAAATAATATTATTTACCTCTGTTATTTTTACTAATACTTCCCGTCGCCTGAAAATACCCATTTCTGCTATAAAAAGGCTGGTAAGTGAAAGTTGTGTGTTGCAGTTTGTTTTTAAAACAACCATAAGGCACAACAAAATATTCATCTATTTAGCTAAAAAACAATTTCAATGGAAATTCTGCTACCCTTGGAAAGTGCCCATTTCGCTTCCCTTAGTTTCGGCTATCATTAAAATAATGATAATAATATGTGTAATTATAACAAAGAAAAACTTCATTAGCACTCATCGATAATTTTACCATGAAGAATCCGTCAACCTGCATTTCTATAAAAGTTTTATGTTAAATTAATCTTATAAAATATTTAAAGCAATTATTGGATTCCAAATAGTATTTTTTACAGATATTTGCAAGTTCATAAAAAAACTTCAAAATATATCCATGACAAACGAGAAAATAAATAATTGAAACAAAATTACCATGCATTAAATTACTACATAAAATGCTCAACTCACAGTTTGTAATATGGCGAGTCTTCTTTCTTGATGTTCAATATCCACATTTTTTTTTTAACTTGTTTATTGAAAATATGACAATCTGTCCCAAAGGACATCGTTATTATTTAAAACAGCCTAATTTCAATACGAAAGTAAATAATTGAAACTTCGGCATTCATTAAACAGACGTATTTTTTACACCTTTTTTGTCATAATCTTAACTCCAACACCGCAATAATAATATCTCTAACTTTTAGGTCTATACAATTTAAAAGTTTCATTCTAATATCTTTAAACATAAATAAATTTGATGGGTTAAAAATTAGAATTACGAATTGTAATAGTATACCTTATACTGTGATTTAACAATCAAAAAGTTAATTATAAATGTCTAGATTAATAAACGCACACTTGCAATTTATAAATTTTAATAAACTTGCACATTATTTAAGATTTTATAATATAAATAGATTAAATATCCTTCTATCGATTCATTCTATAAAAAATTCAAATATCTGAGCTTAAATAAGTATCAGATAACATACCTAACTAATTCAAAACACAATTAAACTTTTTTATGAAAATTGTTTACTAAAAATAAACTAAATAAACATCTGCAATGCAAATTTTAAAAAATACACGTTTCAATATGCCTTTTATGAATATAACCGAACAAGAACTAACTCTTAACCGCACCGAGGAAAGAACTGAAACTAACTGATATTAAAGAGAGAAGCATATAGCCATATTGCATTATAGAAACCTTGTTTTAGGTAATTAGATCGGGTATTTGGCGGGAATGATAATATTCATTTCAACATGAGGTTATTTTAGGTACATCAATTTTATCGTTTAGAAATAATTGTTTAATTTCTAGAATTAGGAAAATTGTCTAATAAATAAAAAATATATATTTGTCTCTTGTCACTGACCACATATCTACTTTTCTGAATAACCCGCGAAAAATTTGAATAATACAAGTGAGATTTCTTGTTAAACAATATAATTTTAATAGTTCATTTTCACAAATAGTTAAAACATTTCAAAAATTATATATTGAATTATTTTTATTTAATGAATTGCTTACATGTCTAATTCTGCATAATATATTCCATGTAAACAACTTTTCATCAATAAATCAATATTTGAAAATGAAGTTACGTAGAGTCCCCAAAGAATTCTTTTTATATGGAGGAAAATAATAAATTAAAACGTTAATGTATAAGATATTTTATTATGGGATCCAGGGTCGGAACTAGAATTTTAACAACTTAATTAAATTTTTTTTTATTTACTTTATTTTTAAAGGCATTCAAGGCATGAAAAAGAAAACTGAATGGGTTTCCTCGTAAACAAAGAGGAAAGGCAATTTTAAAATACTAAGGAACAATTAAATGCTTTGGAATGATCTTACAAAGAAACGGAGATATTTCAAAGAAAATCCACGAAAATAATTACTTCATTACAGTTACATTCATTATGCTTACAGTATCTCCTGTAAAATCGTAAGGGAGAACTTCATCGAAAAATGGAACGGGCGATAGGTTGCTTGCCAGAAGGGCGCAACTTTGAGAAAGTTCTTCCACACCGTCCACTAGGGATTAAAGGCTAAATGGGTATTCCCCGACTACTGTGTCAAGCAGATCCTGACAGGACATGGAGGATTCCGGGGAAAACTACACTCACATGGAAAGATATTGATCCACGGTGTCCCACTTGTGAAGTCTCCGAAATGGCAGAACACGTTGTGGTACCTGTGCTGACATGGAAGGACACCGTGCCAGGTTGTCGAGAAAGACATGTATCGTCGCCATCGCCGAAACGGATTCCCTCCAACTAATGGAAACTAGACGAACTACCCCTTCTTCAGTGAGTTTGTCTATGGGTGGAAGAAAGTGGTGGGCCCTTCGCACTTCACTCATGGTAGGGTCCCACCACCTGATATCAGCAAGCCACATGAGAATGAGGCACAAGAAGAAGGTAGGTGAGTACCGGACAGACGCGGTAAACCAGGAGGATTGGACGCTAATTCGAACGGATGCAGACTAGGTCGGTTACAGAGTGGCAGGAGGGCTGGCATACGATCCGGCAGAGGATAAGGTGCGGCTACATCAGTAAGGTGCACATCCGTGGACCGCACCACAACTGAACCTAATTTATTGTTGCCACATTTAACTATCCTTTAATGTTGTAATATAAGACGTTGTGAATAAAGTATTTTATTGGCAGTAGTGGGCGTACGTATACCCAACGTATTAACCCACTACCACCGAAACCCCGTGTGAAAAAAAATAATGTATCTCCTGTAAATCGGGAACTGAAGTTAATTGAATACGAATAGGAAGTTGAGCGAAGTTTATTTATAAATTTACATACTAGACCCAAATGAACAAAACAAAATCATTGCTCGGAGTGGCCAGACCCATAATTGAACATCACTGTCCCAAGATATACATCACTGTACAGAGATGACAGAGAAACGAATTTGACGAATGAGATTTTTTTTGGCCACTGCCGTTTGGAATTTTGTTCAATTTTGCTGTAAGAGATCTTTTATCTAGATGGTCAAAATCATAAATACAAAAAAATGAAATCAAAGCTCCCACACAAAGGTAGGTGATAATTAATTGTAATTAAACAGTTACAAATGTCAAAAAGCTTTTCAGCTAAAAACGTGATTTTTTAAAAAGGTTTTTATATGTTGGAAGAGGCACATCTTATCCACCTTTTCCTTTCTCCGTGCTTTATTCGTTATTTATTCACCTTTATTTTTTATTACTTCTCCTTAAAAGTAAGGGCCAGTATTTGAAGTGAAGAGTGAGTGGTATGATGAACTTTATAAGTCGTCATTTGAACATGTTATATCTCTTTGATTCCCGGCCCCATATCTTAGTCCAGGTTATGTTATCATATATCTCAGCTATTCTAAGGAATTGTTATTAGTGAAATTAAATGTTTTTAGAGATTACTAAAAATGTTAAACAATTCTTATAAAAATTATGTGATGTAACTTTTGTAGTCAGATATCTTTTAAGTGTTTTTTTTTCATAATATAAAATGAGTTGCTTGAAGCATTCTTCACTTTTCCATACTTTTTTAAGAACCATAAAAAACCATGTTAAATTTTCTACTTCTGCACAAACAACTGAAAGTATTAAGAAGAATTTTTGCAATTTTGAATTTACTGTCAAGTATAATTGGAGTTAATCTACCATATTTTTTCCAGTCTCTTCACAGGAGCACTCTCTTCCTCTCGTAACCAGAAATTTGAAATTTCTAAACCAGTATGAACCTCCTAGACAAGCTTGGTATGAGAATCTTGATTCATTGGAAGAAAAAAAATTGGGTATTGTTGATCTCCATCCTGATGTTTTTGGTGTTATGCCTAGAATTGACATTATTCATGAAAATGTCCTTTGGCAAAAAAATTACAAGCGTGTGGTGAGTCAAAATTTCATCACCTGTTTCTCTGTTTTCATAAAAATTTAGTTGTGGATAAGATGGTAGTGTTTGTTGAACTTCTTCAGATTCTGACTCAAAACAATATTGATTAGTTTTACTGATACCACTATATAAATCTCTCCATCTTTTCTAGGTTTATAGAGATAATCAAACCCCCAACGGATCCTTTTCAGGGGGGTCTGGGTCTTACCAAATGGTTTAGTCACTTCTGTCTACTTTCAGACACACTCAGCATTCCATTTATGGTGTGATCATGAGATCTTGTGCCACCGATGATAGTGGAGTAAATATATGGAATTCTGAGAATGGCTTAGTATTGATAATGTGTTCAAGGATGAAAACTTCCTTTATTTAGATTGTGATTTATGACTTCCACACACTGGTCCTTTACAATTAAAATTGGTACTTCAATTACCTTTAACTATATCACTGTTTTTGACTTTGTTTGCTCAAAAGAGATAAACAAACCCTCAACAGATCCTTTTCAGTCGAGATTAGGCCCATATCAGTTGTTTTGGTTTCCTCATCTACTTTCGGACTTACTCTATCATTCTCAGATCTCGTATCAATGTGGGACAACATTTCTAAAGTAATATCGTAGTCAACACAGTACTATAATGTTCATGGTTGGGCTCATTCAAGGAATTCACCAAGTCCCAAAAAATCCTTTTCAGTAGAGGTCAGGGACTTAGTGGAGATGAATCCTTTTCAATTCATCCACTTTTATGGATATTACAATATTTTTTACAATAATTTTCCATCAAGCATTTTTTTTATTTTTCATTATCAACGATAGTTTAATCTATTCTATGTAGCTGTTGATGGATAAAGCAAGGGAGTCTTAATTATTGTTTTTTATATTAATTAAAAATTTAAAAATTTCTAATGTTTTAATGAATATATATATGTATTTTATTTTTATATATTTGTATATGTTATAGAATAGATTTTTAAACATTTAGTTTATTTTTAACAGAGTTATGCTCATACTAAAGTCAGAAGTGAAGTTCAAGGTGGTGGAAGAAAACCTTGGCCCCAGAAAGGACTCGGGAGGGCACGACATGGTAGCATCAGGTACAATGTTTTTATTCGGCTTCTTTTTATTTTATAGTCTTTATTAAACAAAATGTTTTAAAGCCCATAAAAGAAACTATATAGTTCTTAAATTTATTTATTTTCACTATTTTTTATTTTGACTGATCACCCCAACCATCCTTCTCTTCGTCTATAGCTCTTAAACTTCTTTATAAACTATGTCATACCATCTTAAGTTTATTATCATGTAGATCATGAGTGGCTGTTTCTTTTGTTCGAGTGATAATTGGCTCATATAAGTCAAGTAAATATTCAAAATGGTACATGTTTTGGCATATGTTTCAGGAGTTTTGTAGTGAAAATAAAATTTAAGAAAATGCTAATATAATTTTGCTGTAAGAGTGTTGATAAACTTTTTTGATTAATCTAGAATTTGGTCTACTTATCAGGACTAATTTTGAGCAACTATAACTGTTTTATACCGCAAAAGCAATAAGTTTGGTTTGTGTATTTTTAGCATTCCAAATGTAAATATGAAACCAGAATTTTCTTATAGAATAAATTTTTTAAAATATTTTATTACAAATACTGTCCACCGTTAGCTCTACATTTTCCCATCTCTCTAGCAATTTATGACTACTAACTTCTGAGGCAAACCAGCAATCAAGCCATTTTTGCATATTTTCATAAGGAATGAAGTACTGCTGAACAAGTGTATGTCCCAGCATTGCAAATAAATAGTATTTGGATAGAACTAAGTCTGATGAGTAAGTGGCATTCATAAATATTTCCCAACTGAATACCTCCATTGTTTCCTTCACTGGTTTTGCAATGTGTGATTGGGCATTATCATAAAGCAAAATTATTTTGTGTAGTCTTTTTACTTTCACTTACCTATTTATGAAATATATAGTAAGGGAAAGTATTGCAATCATGAAAATTTTTGAATCCGAGTTTTCAACGGAAATACACGTTGTGAGGTCCCCTGAGGCTATATAACCAAGCTCACAAAATGGTTTGTGTGTGTGTGTGCAACAGTCTACCTCAATAACGAAAAGTCGTGTGAAACTGACATTGCATATTTATGATTTGTATATATATGCCTGGGATAGTACAGCAACTTTTTTGTTAAAACCGGCAAACTGGAAGTGGTATTTTATATTATCAATTTAACACATTTGCATGATTTTTGCAATAACTGCTCTTAATGATTTTGGTTAAACTCGTTATGCTAACATATAATCAAATGTTTTTTTAATATAAGGGAGGTTTTATCCTCATTGAGGTTTTCTAACAGAGTGTACATTTCAATTTTTAAAAATTTCTTTCTCTAAAGTACCTTTAATTTTGATTGTTTTAAAAAAAATCCTATTTTACACTGTAGATATTGAATAAAAACTGTTAAACATAACTGTGAAAAAAAATTGATCATGAACTAAAGGAGAAATAAGAGATGGTCTTCAGGTACCGAGAATTACCCAAAGACTCGCGGTGCTTGTGGTGGAGATGATGTGGAGCTGAAAACTGCCAAAGAAACCTGGGCGCGCTTTGTAAACGATGTTTCAAATCGTTCTGGACAGACACAAAACATATGTTTCTGAATCCTGAATCACACATAAGAAACATATATAATTTGTACTTGGAAAAATGTAATGAAAATAACTTATAACATACAGGAAAATCTTTAAACGAGATTTCAAGTTACATTTCCATTTGCCACATAAAGATACCCATGCAACATGCGATTTCTTGGACATGAAAATTAAGACAACTGATGATGAAGAGAAAAATAAAAACATGATGTTCACTTGAAAGATGCTGAATTAGCTAGAAAAGCATTACAAGAAGATAAAATTCTAGCATCAAAAACTCCAAATAAATACTCAGCCTTTTCTTTTGATTTACAAAAGGCCTTATTCTACCTCAAATTATCTGTCTCAATTGCATATTACAAGCGAAATATATATGTTTTAAACAAGGGATTTCACCGGTTCCAAGAGATCGCAAGAAGTAGCTTCTTGCTGTTTGAGACGTTTGCAAAATTTAATGACTCTTCACTACATACCTTCTGTGCATCACAAATATTTCAAAACACTACTACATTAAGAGCATAAGTAAATACTACCAATAATTTAAGTTAATGTTAACAATATAATTAACATTTAAAATTGAAAATACTACTTCTATTTTTTATATTGTTATTATTTGTAAGCAAAATATGATTAATATGAAATTTATTTTTAGAAACATTATTTTTCAAAATTGAAATTAAACGATTTTTACAATTGACTAATTTTGAAAGGGGTATAATTCTATTTGCCGTAAATACACTTAATTGTAGTTTGCCTAGTGTATAAGCACCAATAGTTGACAGTGTACCAATACCTGACACCCTCCTCGATAAATGGGAATAATAAAATTCCTGGACCTCCTAGACCTCTATTTCGTATATTTTTAGTTTATATATTTTCTCCTTGTGCATTTGTCAGCTTTGTTTTAATCTTGCCGGAAATCGCAACTGAAATAATGAGTGTTAAATTAGGAAGGTCCCTCACGGTCCACTTAGTGTCCCAGGAACAACCATCTGTCAGTAAGAGCATCATACCTTAGATTTACCTTTTTCTCTTTAACTACTCAGATTTTATCGCAAAAGTTTTGTTTAATTGTTTTTAAATTAAGTTTGGTCTGTTTTTAATTTATCATGATGAAGGAATTTGATATTTAATGGGTGTCAGCTACTAGAGCCTTATAATGGAGGCTTTTGCCAGTAGTTGACTGGCCTGTACTCTTCTAAATTCAAAGAGACACATTCAATAGAACGGGTCTTAAAAATGGGATCGTTCACTACTGACTTGTTAAAAAAAAATTGCTAATGATTTGGATTAAATATAAAGCACAAATAGGTTTCCCTATTGCCAAAAACAGATTCTTGACAGTGACCAGCATTTATTGATAAATTTAAATCGGAAAACGCAAAAAGTTAATTTTATAATAAGTTAAAGGTAATTTTGTTAATCTTAAAGTGAAGAATATGATTACATCCATTTTCTCATCTCTGTCAGCTAAAGGAACATTTCAAATCAAACAGTGGTTTGATACGAGCTACTGGTACAACAAAACTATGCTCTTAATTTTCAATTTTTTAAAATTAGGTAAATGTTTCATGTATTTGAAATATGTCTTGGTAAGGTGAGAAATAATTCTATGAGATGAATCCATGAAAAGTATAATAACATCAATATTTAAGTTTTTACGCATAAAAATTCAAAGAAATTTTTTTAAGCATGTCAGATACTGGTGCAGTACCCTAAAATAAATTCATATAATCAAATTGCATATTGAAAAACCAGTAGAAACATTGCCTGACTTGATATAATTACGCTAATCAATGCTAATTAAACAAGATAAAATGGACTTTTACCACTTTCAAAATAAACGATTCATGTAGTAATTAATTTTCTTAAATAATATGTTGTACCATCTATTAATTTATATATTTAACACCAACTTAATTTAAGTTCCTAACAGCTAAATATTTTAATAGTAATATTACTTTATTAAAAATGGCGATACTACTGGTGATATCGATATAGATGGTAATATGTTTGAACAGGTAGATAAATTTAGGTATCTAGGTTCTACGATAACTAGAAAAAACGAAATTGAAGAAGAGATTAAGGTTAGACTGAAGGCGGGGAATGCTTGTTATTTTTCTGTGACAAAACTACTTAGTTTGCCTCTTGTCCCGAAACTTAAAAATTAGAATCTATAAAACAATTATCTTGCCTACAGTTCTTTATGGATGCTAAACTTGGCCGCTTACATTAAGGAATGAGCAGCGTCTTAAGGTTTTTGAAAATAAAGTATGGCGTAGAATATTCGGACCGAAGAAGGATGAGTTAACCGGAGAGTTCAGATGATTACACAACGCCGAATTGCGTGAGCTGTATCCGGGTAATATAGTTGAGGTAATTTCATCGCAGCGAATCAAATGGGCTTGTAAAGTTGTTGGGCTTAGTAACGAGAGAATTCCTAAAAGGTTAATATTTGCTGTACCGAATGGTAAGAGTCCGAGGGGTAGACCGAAGCGAAGGTGGGAAGATTGCATTAAAGCCGATCTGAAGGGACTGGGTTTGGACGGCGAACGGTGGAGGGAGGTGTGTAACAAGCGATTGGTGGTGTCGGCATCGAACCTTCGGGTTCGCTAAGCCTTATTATTATTATTTAATATTACTTTATTAATCGGATGGTATAGGTATGAATGTGTTTTATATATTTCAATTTCATTTAGTTTTTCTCTATTTTTTTTTTCTCTCTTGTTTTATTTATTTATTTTTTTACCTATGTATGTTAAACTCTTTTTCTTTTATCTCTATTTTAGTTATCATTTGTATGTATATATTGTGCGAATGTTTAATGTAGCCCTAATATTAATGCCCTCCAATGCGGCAGAATGTATTAATTTTCAAATAAAAAAAAAATAAAACAAAAAAAAAATCGGGTGGTAATGACAGAAGTTTTGAGCCTTAAACATCAAATGATAAAAAGATCTATTTTTACTCAAAGTAGGGTGGTAAGTGAAAGTTGTGTGATGCGCTCACCACACCAGATTTTTATTATTTTATATTATATTATTATATTATTTTTTATATTTTATTATTATATTATATTATATTATTTTTATTTTATTTTTATTCAAATCGATCGTTTGTTATCGATAGCATTCAGTTCTAACAGTTTCCCGAGGTTTTAGCAGCTAAAACCTCTGCTACTACAGCTAACTAAATTTAGTTAAGTACCGTTTTGAACCAGTCTTATTGTATTCAGTTTTGTGACTCGCCCAATTTCTTGGAAGAATAATATATTGCTGAATAGGGAGAGAAAGTTTCCCTGAAACGTTCAATAAATTGCAATCAAAGACTCCTTTGATTAATTTATTCTGACCATTAGGCAAATATATAACTGTAAAAAAAATAAAGATCAAACCTGAATAATGAAAAATATATTTCTTTACAAATACCATCACATCATAGCAATAACTCATATTTTTGACTGAATTTTGGTTAAGACGACCAAAAAGCGTAAACAATATTTATTTTTTAAGCTTAAAAACAATTTTGTTTCAAATTGATCAATTCCAGTCCTGTTTAAAAACACGCAGATTCTAATGCGATGTTTTACATTGCATTTTACATTTTTATTTATATAGATACAAGTGCTTTAATAATATGGGCCAAAATCAGTAGTTATATCTTGATTTAATATTGTAATAAATATTAAATTAATGGGAGAGAAAATTCAAAATAAGCGACAAACCTCGTCAGGAAATTTTTGATAAAGGCCTTATGACTCTCAAATATGAGGGTGGATATATTATAAATGGTGATTACTTTGTATAAATTTGTTGATTAATGTTACTCGCAGTATAATTATGGCTACCATTTTTTCAGCATTTCTCAGCAAGTACAGAAAATTGTTCACATGTTCGTCAACTTCTTCACCGCTTTTGGATCATTCTGTTCCAAGTGATTTTTTCAAGGTTGAGAACAAAAAATAATTATGGGGCATAAATATAGATTAGGAGTGTGTTCAAGGATTTCATGACCCTTTTTTCTAAATTATCCCTAATCAAGATTAGATGTTACATCCCTGCCATTATGGGCGGGAATGCGTCTTCTAATAAGCATACTTCATCTTTGGTTTCGGTATACAGTTTTAACTGATTGTAACAATATGTACTTAAACAGTGGAGGTATCAATATGCTCTCAAATGGTACAAATGTTATCATCCATAAGTCAATTCCTTAAATATCAATCATTGCTTCTGCATCAGACTTTTTCTTGTCCACCATTTAGTTCTCTGGCCCACATATACACTCGATTTTGGAACAGTGTTATGCCTCTAAACTGTGCCATCAAACAAGTAAAAATTTCTGAGGGTTTACTGTCTTCATTGGTGAAAAGTTTAAGATAATGCACCGTGGAACTGAGAAATATACCTTCTATTCAGTTTTAGCTGTACTTAGGACTGAACAAAGTGCAGCTGTTTCCTCATTCCTCTTAAACCTAATATCAACCTCCCATGCCTGTTTTATAGCCCCGAAACTGCAAAAAAGCAACATTGCCTTTCATACTTAACTCACCCTTGTAGTAACAAATATCTAACCAATCAATGTTTTGCCTGTTTACACTTCATCAAGTTAAAATTTAACAATAATGATAAAACATAAGTGCAGACCAGAAAAAGCACATCTCTGGATTGCACTATCTCTGACTGCTAATCTTAGGATTAGATTTCCTTTCAATGGTCTACATTGATATGATCTTACTTTTTCCGTTCAGATAATACCAGAATTGTCAAATAGTTAAGAAATAACTTACCAAATTTAAGGAATTAAGGCTTTGTATTCGAATCTTCCAATAACCTTATTAGATATTTATTTACATCTACGGTGTAGTTAAAACAGTATCCCGCTATACACTGCAGAGTACTGTAACAGGTTGGGCTCTTCATTTTTTTTTTTTTTTAATATTTTATTATTCTACTGTTGATTGTTAGTGTTTAATTGACTTTTCAGGTCTCCATTGTTCAAAGGAGGTGGTGTCGTTCATGGTCCCAGGTCTCCTACGAGTTACTTTTATATGTTACCATTTTTCAAAAGAGTAATGGGGCTAACTTCAACTTTGTCCATTAAGCATGCTCAGGTAAGTGTTAGTTATTTTTTTGTCTCATTTTATTTCAAGTAAAATATGGTTAAATTTCAAGGTTTATATTTATAATTAACATAAAAATCTTAATTTATATTATCCATGAGAGTATAATTATTTTCAAATATGTTTTCAAAATTGATGTAATACTTTAGAGACGAGACCTGTTAGACTGTAGTGGAACAATGGTAGGGCATTCTGAAGGGTATTCAATACTACTCAAGTAGAGTATTCAATGGGAAGTAAACTTCATGGAAGAAGATTAATATGGCAAGTGGAATTAACACCCTGAAACTAAAGAAAGCTGCTGATATTGAAAGAATAATACTGGAAATCATTAGGTACATGGAAATGAAGAATCTGGTGTAGAAAGAAAAGAAGGTACCTCACGACTCAGAAGTATCTATTATCTTCTAATATATTAAGCGGCTACCCAAAAGAGTGTAAAATCACAGAGGTATCTTGCTTCTATGTGTTTCAAGTAAGATAATCACAATCCTTGAGGATTGTAGTGTGGAGGTTGAAAAACAAGAAAGCCACTCTTTGTTGAGGAACAGTATGGCTTCAGTCCTAACATTTAGATCTCTGAAGCAGTTATAAAAAAAATAAATAAAGAAGAAATAATAACATACATAAATATATTCCTTCTAACATTGAAGTATACCAATAATTATTCAGAACTCCAGCTCACGGTGATGCACTATTTGAGAAAAATTGAAGGCGAAACGAGACAAGACACAATTAAGAATAACACGGTCTGAACCAATCTGAAGGTAAGACCAGCCCAAAGAGGTTATTGAGAAGCTCATGTGGTGTAGCATGACCTCAGATGAGGCAGAAATAGAAGGATGAAGACTGAGAGAAAGGAATAGAGAAGGCTTTCAAAAAGGATATAGACTGGTGGCAAAGAATAGAACTAGTTTAGAAGATGGTCACGTGGATGAGACTATACAAGCGGTAGTCCGCTCAGACTGTTGTGTAGTTAAGAGGCTAAATTAAGAAGATCTTTTCAAAGTAAATCAGTAAAGTTGAAACGTATACCCCGTACATAACTCAAAAATAAACTTTTTTTGTTTACAAATTAATACTGTTATTGGAAAACAAAGCTTCTAAAAATATATATACTTCGGGTAGAAGTATGGTATTCTATACCCCAATCCAGTAAAAGTAATTTTATTGTTGTGATTTGTTTTTTATTTTTCTTAGTTCTAATACATATTTATTTGAAAAAAAAATTAATTAAAATAAACTTCAAGATATTACTGCCACACACATCATCCTGTCAGAGACCTATGTATCTAGTCCAACTCCAATTCATATATTTAAAATAGTTGAAGTATAAATCATTTTGTCAATAATAATAGAATACACATTATATATAGGTATTCAAATGTAAATAGATATGCTTGGTGCAAAAAAACTATATAGATGTCTATTATTTTGTAGATAACATGGTATTATTACTTTGTATATTTAATGTTAATTAATAAAATTGACCCAGGTGAATAAGTTGTTGTTGTATCTGGCTTCATTCTCTTTTAAGTTATTATTATTAATATATTTTGATTCATTATTTTAGTCATGCCAATATATCTACTTTGTTGCAGGATGATTTGCACATTGTAAATAACTTAGAAATACCTACCGATGATCCTAAATTCTTACAAGATTTGATAGAAGAACGAAATTGGGGTGTGTCTGTTCTGTTTGTAGATGTGTAAGTTGGTCCTTTTATTTATACGCTTACCTCATTGTAGTGCACACTTATTTAAAGCTCTGACATAAAATTTTATTGCAAGTTCATTTTAATTTTGTTGAATAATTTTAAATTTGGATGATCTCAGTCATTTCATTAGCTTGAATATGCTTTTGTATAATGAAGTTGTGAATACTAATAGTCATCGCTGGAGTCCCTGACCAGCCTTCTTTTTTTTTCTGAAGAAAAAAAATGTATGTAATGTTTTTGCAATATCATTCGATTAAAAAAAAACACTGCAATTTTTTAAACAATGATTTATTATTTCCAAGCAGTTATATATCATATCAACAGCCACACTGCAAAAGCCTGTAAGGACAATCTCTATGGAAAATGAGGTTTTGAACTTTTCTGGTAAATCTTGTCCTGGCAAAAATCTACGATGTTTAATTTTTTCTCTATGGCCTTTTGTAAAAACCAGCAAATTGTGATGTAAAAAACTGTAAGTTATAGTGAAGTTTATAGAGATAGTGTTGTTACCGAAAAAACGTAAGTACTCAATGAAAAGTGGTCGATGTTCTCATACACTTTGAATTATTTTTTAAGAATGGTGGACACTTCCAGCTCAGCGCCTCTGGGCAAAAGCCTGGGTACCGTGCTCTGAGGCCGGACCTGCTTGCCATGGAACTAGAAAAAGTAAAGAAGAGAGTGGTAAGTGAGAATACAATATTAAAGGGCCTTCGAAACATCCTGGACACTGCAAAATAAGCTTGACAGGAAAAAAGCTACAATTCCGCCAAATCCCAGATAGTGAGAGACATAGAATCGATATCATTAATTGAAAAAATTATTATGGGACTAAAAGAGAACTCTAGTTTCATCTTTTCAAACCAATGAATCTTCGAAATCGCAAGAAGCTCAGAAACGAAGTGATCTACACCACTGTCCAAATGGTTTGTGTTTGTATATGTGAACAGTATGATTAAAAAATGAACACATGTAAGACACTGAAATTACGTATTTAAAGTAGGTTTAAGTCTGGAATATTACAGCAACTTTTGTTCTAAAATCGACTTAGTTGGAGTTCCACTTTTTATCATCTATTTTACAATAAAATGATACTATTTTCTAGAAAACGGCTTTAATGATTTTGAATAAACTTCATATATCTATATAAAATTAAATGGTCTTTAATATCAGTTAGATCTTTAATAGAAGTCGAAATAAATTGCCAGAGCTTAAATGCTGAATTTTCAAAATTGCAGCCTCTAAAGTTTAATTTTGATTATGAGAGATAATTAAAGGTCTCTAATTGTCAATAGTCATTCTGAAGGATAAATATGAACAATGAAATAATTTAATAATTAACTTTAGGAGAAAATCGGAGAAATATTTTTGAAGATTGAAACCAAATTTCATGAAATAAGATTAGTAATTTAAATGTACAGTATACTTTTGTAAAGATCTGAAGAATTTAGAATTCATATCTAATGTATAAAGTTGTAGAAAATAATGAAATGATAACACTTCTTTTTTTTTTATTGGATAACCCCCTGCCAACCATTTGTGGCATACGTGAGGGAGGGGAGTTGTTCTAGAGGTGCAACTTAATCTATTTTAACCAGAGTGGGATAATCAAGTTCCATTCCGTTAGTCTGCCACGAAATAAAAGACCCATCTCAGGCTAGATCTGAAACGGCGTTCTTAGCCACGAGGATACTAGGACGGGCAACACTCCAACACACTCGGCCATCATCACGATCTCATGAACGTAACGACAAACTAATGACTTTTAATTGTAGTTAATAATACCTAATTTTATTATTATTGCTATATTAATTAGGGAAATAAATTTTTCTGTGGAAACTAGATGGAAAATTTTAAGATTTATTTTCAACTTGACAAACTTATATATTTGGTTGAAGTATATCTGTGCCCCCGAGATAAAGGACACTATGTCCATTTTTTTTATTAAATCATTTAGTAACTTTTTTTCATTTTTTAATGAGTTTATTGAATATTAATATAATCTGCCCCATTGAAGAGCATGGCCATTTCCATTTCCATTCCAGTAGGAATGGCCATTGATCGTCAATGTTATTGAAATATCTATATTTTCCTTCTGATATTCGATATTTTACCATCGATAGTATCTACTTTGATATTATCGACTATCAATATTGTCCCTTTGAAATTTTAATATTTTAATTTGAAAATAAAAATAAAAACTATTGTTTTTGGAAAGTGCTAGGATTTATATATGAATCTGATAGTTAGAAAAAACTATATACTTATCTTGCCTGTTTCATATAGCATGTAGTGTGTAGTATGCTATCCACTCTGATGCTGTCCTTTGAAGTTTTTGGTGTTAGTATATTCCAACTTTGTTTTCGACACCTCATAATAATTTTAAAAAACTTATTTGCTATATTCAATACATAGCATTATAATGTTTAACTTAATATAATTTTACCATATGTTTTCTTGTAATGGTAGTTACGATTCATCTCTAATTTAAATGTAATGGACGTATCTAATGAATTGTCTTCTTTTCAGACCTGATATGATGCCAAGGAACATTACTGTTGCGACCGACAGTATCAAGGAAATGAACTTAATGCCTGTTTATGGTAAGATTTGATATATTATTGGCCTTGGGTATTCTATTACATTTACATAGTTTTTCTCACTTTACTTTGTCATTCAAGTTGTAAGTCACTTTGCCTTAAATAAATTGATTCTCTTCTCGAGCATAATATCTGTCTATAAAAAAATTCAAAATATATGCTATACTTCAGTTTGGTTCTAACAGGGTAGAAAAACATGCTTTTGTTATTGTTTATTATCTTTATACATCCTATTATAAAACAGGTTGCATAACAAATTAAACAATTTTCCCATTTTTTATATTGTATTTTATTACTCGGTCATTTAATGAATTTATTAATTTTTTTCTAGTGAATTAGCCTATTAGTTATAGTTCACAAGATCAGAATTGATTGTCAATCAGATGAATTGTAGAATAGTGAAGTGAGACAACCAATTCTAGACTAAAAACAGAGCTTAGAACTTTTATGCTGCATTTATTTATCTCTCTATTTTATAAAAAAATTTTATGACTATATAATATTTTTTTTGCTAGATCTTGAAAAACAATTGAAAATAAAAATCTGGTCATACTGAAAACTAGCAAGAATTAAAGTTAATTTATCCCTTCAAGCCCTATCTAAAAGTAAAAGAATTATTTTAGAAACAAAAGTGGCAAGTTGATCGAGCTTAAAGCTCAATAGTAAAGTCCAGAACACCGAGTTAGCAAATCTTAACAACTAGAAACCATAATAAAACTCAAATATCTATAATACCATTGACTGAGTGAAATGAATAATAATTTACCATTTAAATATTAGCAAAATTTTATTTTGAAAAATAACGACTGGAAAGTAGTTCTTTTCTTTAAATTTTTTTATTATTTATGTTTCTTTGTAAATATCAGGACTTGAAATGGAAACTTAACTATCGTCGATTTGGTTAATATTGATTAAATTGTTTTTCTGTTTCTGCAAAAAAGAGCACTCATTATATTAGATTATTGATAGATTTGATTATACTAATTTTATTTCCGTATTACTGGAAAATGAAACCAACAGTTTATTCATAACATAATAAAGGAGTTAAATAATATGGTAAGATCTATGAACCAATGTGTAATTTTTGTTCGATATATCTACATATTGTATTTAGATAAAAATAGAAACTTGTTAAAATCTCTTTTTATTATCTTTATCATTCTGTCAGATAATGAAAAAAGGCTTAGTAACAAATAAGATTAGTTTTTAATCCAATTAATCTAGTAATGAAGATGGCATTAATCTCAAAAAATGGCGATCATAAGTTTTAATCTGTTAAATCCTTAAAAACGATTAGCTTAGGAATTGAACAACCTTTAGAAAAGTATCCCCCATCCTCAAGAAAAGAAGTAATCCTCCATGACATTTTTTATTATTGTTAATCAGATATAATTAAAGTTTTTCTCATTTTATTAGTTGCTTGTTGACTAAAATTGTTTCCAATTCCAATTTTTTTATTGATACAAGTAGATATTTTTTAAAAGTTGGCTAACTTAATTTAATATGGAAAATATGGAAAAAAAATATGGATGTTATGAGATCAAAGCTGCCCCATCTCGTTATTTTTGATACATTATTTAAAATTATATAACTCTTTTCTGTTAATTATTATATGAATGCTGACTTTTTGTTTATATAAACTAGAGCGGTACTCCCTGTCTGCCTAACAGCGGACCAATCCCCATTTTACAAATTATACAATTGTTCATTTAATTGTATTACTCGTTGCTCAAATTGTATAACTGTAATTTACTTGTATTCTGTAGTTCAGATTGTATTATTTTTTATCAACATAAACTAAACTAAACGAAATCGCAGTTCTGACAGACATTTTGTATCTTTAAATGACTATATTATACATCGCGTCTTATTGCCAATTTATATTATTATTATTAGTTCCTAGAATTCCTTAGGTGAGAAATGAAGGTCATGAAGATCTGCCATGCGATTTTATATATTATATTATTATATAATTATAATTATTCTTATTGCCATTTTGTAACTATAATGTATATTCAACTTGTCCAGCTTCATTCTTTATTTAAACCCAACATTAATTTTTGAGTCTTTTATTTCTAATATTTTCATTGTGCGTTATATTGTGCTTCCTTTTCTATTTCATAATCATTATAATTATATCACAAAATATTATATATAATATAATAATTAATATATTGTATTCAAGGTGAAAATTTCTAGATCGAAAAATAATGCTGTCATCTAGATAAAATCAAACTATCATCACCAGATGAAAACAATTTCCATACAAATTTTTGGTTCAAAATTTTTAATTTGTATTAGGAGAATAGAAGGTTACAGGAATTCAATACATATGTAATTAAATGAACAACTTTATAATTAGTGATTATACAGCTAATAGGAGAGCTCCCTTGTAATCTCCTACTCTCCTAATACTGAAATAAAATAAAATATGAAAATCACTTAAAACTTTTTTATATAATAGAGAGATACATTAGTAATAACTAGTGCCCGGATCTGAAGATATATTTTTTTTCTAATGTTTTCCAAGTGATATATCGTAAAAATCAATTTTTAGATCTAAAAAAGATCTTAAACCACTTGTTACGTATAGTATATAGTATACAATAGTACTTGTAGAGTTTAAACATTGCTAAACCTTAATAACACGAATGAATATGCTAAAACTGAGTTGCTAAATTAATCCATAATGTTTACAAACGTTTGAATTTTCTTTAAAATTGGTTATTGATATAACTTAATAAAAAATGTCCCTAAACTGAGTGCTATATCCATTGATGGATTCCATTCGATTGAATCCAGTACCAATGGAAAGCGAAGTAGGCCAAGTTCAGGAACGACCTGATAGCTTTTAAGGAAGGTAAACACTCCTGGAAGTTACTTAACATATCAAAAATAAATAAATGTTCAAAGAAATGCCTACCTACTGAATTATTAATTTTCAAAGCAAGTATAAATTGTGCAAATAGCTGAACTCAGCGGTGGATTTAGGAACTTGCTTATACACACAAAAAATAAACTGAATATAAATATGTGAATAAATAAATAATAAAAAGGCTTAGCAAACCTGAAGGCTCAATGCTGACACAACCAATCGCTTATTACACACCTCCATCCACCGGCCGCCATCCTAACACAGTCCATTCAGATCAGTGTTAACGCAATCTTCCTATCTTTGCTTCGGTCTACCTCTCGGACTTTTACCAGTCGGCACTGCAAATATTAACCTTTTAGGAATTCTTTTGTTACTAATATAGATAATTATTATAATATAGATAATTAGTTTTATCAATTGCTATAATTGATAGTTAAAATTCAGATAATCAACCTAACATTACATTACAGCGTTTATAATTCTCTGTAAATGCTAAATGCTGTGATGTCATATTAAATATAATTGATTGTATGTTGGTTTATTATTTTCAATAATCAAACGTTGTGATCAACAAAAAAATTCAAAAACTTAACTCCCTCTCAAAATTTAGGGTTTCACGTTTCAGGATGCATAGAATTAAAAAATCGAATAAACATTTTTTTGTTTGTCCGCCGTCCTCGTATTTTCTCCGAAACTACTGGACCGATTTTTTTTTAATTTGGATATAAAATCAGAGGTCACCCAAGGATGATCCTCCTTCATCGACATTATTATTCGTCTTTTACTTTCATAATGGTGGCCGAAAAACCTGCGTTGCTATAGACTGTAGCTCCTAAACGAATGTACCGATTTCATTGAAACTTCGCTAAAGTCATTTTCTCGACACCCTTTAAATTTATCTATATAACATACTTCAACGAAAAGAAGCTGGAAAAAAAGTTACGAGGGATGGTAAAATTAAATTTCGAATAACTCAAACAGTTTGCACTTTTTTTGTAGATATTGTATATGGTTTTTTAAAAGTTTATGAAATTTCATAAAAAATCGTTAAAATTGGACAATTAGAAGCAAAGATATAGTCTCCGGTTTTTTTTTTTTTTTTATATGTTCTCCAAATGTTATATCCTTTGTTTGGTTTTTAAATTTTGAATTTGTTACTGAAGTAATGCTATTTTTTTTTTTAGCATATTACTAATGATTAAAAAAAAAGTTTAGTCCAATAATTGGAATCACCTTTTATTTATTTTTCTTTGTAATGTCTTATTAAAATTAAAATCAATAGTTAATATTGTAGATGTTCAGTTATGATTTGAAGTATTATTCATAAGGTGTTATGTTGTGGTTAATAAATAAATATAAAATGGCTGATTATTGTCTTTTTATTAGGTCTCAATGTTTATAGTATGCTCAAACACGAAACACTTGTTTTGACTTTAAATGCAGTTGAAAAAATTGAAGAAAGGATTCTTTTGCAACTTCATCGACCTGATTATAGCAAGAAGATGCTGAAATTCAGAGTTAGCCAGCAATAATTGAACATTATTAATGTTACTGTTATAAATAGTAATTAAAACATAAATATAATATTACCATAAATTATTATTTCTATTTGTTTTCCTATCCACCAAAAATAATATATATGGTCACCTTTTGAGAATACTACATTTATTTCAGTCTGTAATAATTTAATAATAATAATTTATTATTTAATAACTCAAAGATATAAAAATAATAGGATAAACTGTAGTGTTCTTGAGATCAGTGTGTTTCATACCTTCCGACTAACAATTTTGTTAAGAGTAAGTTCAAGATTTATGTTATCCCATCTGTGTTGTTATCTTTATAGTTAATAAAGATTTTAGAATTTTTCTGAGGTATGTCCATTACTGGTAACGAATCCCTGTCCATTACTAGAACAATTGAAGTTCAGGGTGTCCATCACTAGTGCAAAAAGGTGTTTTTTTTTTTATACTTGTATAACTGTATATTTTTCAATTTTCAATTGTTTAATAGAGAAAGGAGACCCTAGAAATTCTGAATGTCCGCCGGAAAAGTTTATAACTATAATAATTACGGCGGCATAAACCAAAAAATTCCTTAGCTATACCCATTGACCTAGGTGATAATTAATGCTTTGAGATGTTACTTGTGCTCTGATTAATTTTTATCAAATTTTAATTTATATGGTGAAAGAAGTCATCTTTAACTAAGATAAGATATTGTACCAATTTCACTTGTTTCATGAATAACTTTTACTAGAAAATTTTTAATTTTCATAGACAAATCTCACTAAGATCCACTTGCCAAATTAGATTATTATCAAATGAAAAAAATAAATATATTTAAGCTATAATTATTCTTCCTAAAATCTGCACCCAAGAATGAGTTATGTAGCTCATTGGATTATATTTATTTTTAAGGGATTTGAAAATCTTAGAGCTTTCATTTCTCAAAATTCCTGTTTATTTACTCATATATAATGTTTTGGAATTTTATATCCCAACATCAGACCATTATTTAAATCTGACCATTATAATAGATGTCAGATTTTCATACACCTCATAACAAAATAATCTCTCTTAGAACTTGAAAGGCTGTCAGATTTTCACATACCTCATTACAAATAATCTCCCTTAGCACTTTGGAACAAAATATTTATTTTTATTTTGTTACTTGTGACTGAACATTCCAACCGACTCCTCTTTAATATATCCACGACAGTCAGTTATTAATCCACGACAAACGACTAGATTACAATTTCCGAATTACTTACCACCGAACCAAATCTCAAAATCAATCAAGGTCTCTTCAGTCACTCTCCGCTTCCTCATCTTCAGTCATTACTACTTCTCATGCCAGCTCTTCTTCTATTGTAGCTCTTCAAGCACAAAATGTACAATCTTTCATCCAAACTAATATATCCTTTTCCTTAAAATCCGCTTACCCAAACTCCACAAACTTCTTTGATCCAATAATACAGAACAAAGAACATGCCTTCTCAAATGTCGCTCTAATGCAATTTTTCCAAAATTTATCAATAACTCTTGCAACCGTAAGTTTTCCATATTGCCTTCTTTCAACTCAAAATTGTCAGCTTCTAATCTCAAATTAAAATAAATCTTTTCTAAACTTAAAAATCAGCTAAACCACTCAAAATATTAAATTTATCAATAAACCAATTTTGTTCCTTCTCTAGCTTTAAGTAGCAACGTTAATTAGGACAACATGAATAATCTTTCAGTTTGTATTTATAATATTTTTAATTTGACCTAAGCAAAAAAAAAAACTGATTTCCTAATTCAAAAATCTATACTAATCAACACTTAAAAATAAAATCCCCTCAAACATCCCCTCCAAAGTTATTTAAATCTTAAATTGAGGCCCCAATTTTTTCAAACTTAACATTTCTGTCAAAATTATCCCAGGCCTTGAATATATTTACACATATGATCTTTTCACTGCTTCAAAAGAAAATAAGGATTTGTTATGCGTTCCCATTCGCAACATTATTTCCAATTATCTTATGCACTCTCCTCTTCATCTTTTTCTCCAGGATTTTATAAAGACCTTTCTTTTACCCGATTCTTCCTAAAATCCCATGACATCATTATAACCAGAGCTGATAAACGTAACAAAACTATCATTATGGACAGTACTGAATATACTAACAAAATGACTTAGGTCTTAGGAAGCCTTTTTTAAAGAGAACAGCCCTAATGAAGGCCTGAAATTTAATTTATTTATTTTTACTTTGTTAATTGTGACTGAAGGACCCCAACCAACTCCTCTTCAATATATGCATGCCAATCAATTATTAATCCTCTATTATGAAATTTATTTAGATAATAAAAATATATATTTGCTTGTATGGAGAAGACATAATGAAAAATAAAGGATTTTAATATGTAAATGTATAGTATAATGACCATAAATAAATTATCTTATGATAAATAACTTGTAGAGAAATTTCTTAAGATGATGAAACTGTTTTTCAACTATCACATAGTGAAATTAATATCAGTTTTTACGCTACTGACATGTGCTTAATAAGCAATTGCCTACTAGGAAATGAGAAACCGTGATGCTGTTCTAAATCACTTCAGTATGTTTACCTGAATGATAAATTAATCAGTGTATAGATCCATAATAGGAAAGAGATTACTAAGATTTTCTTCCACTGTTATCTTTATCATTTATATCCATGTTAGCTTTATAATATACATACTAATTTAAACCAAGATTGTTACAATGCCTTTTGTATTCTCCTCCTTTTGATAGGGTCATGTGATTGCTGGAAATCTATAAATCATTTATATATTGTATTTTATCATTTCCAAAGAAAAATATGTCAGTAATTGATCCTACGCCACAAAATTCAAAAAACATTTCTCAATTTCTTCAACTTTGCTAGAATATGTTTTACGCTATGTTAGGACAGTTAGCAATTAGCTTCTCCCCTCTCTCTCACCCTTCAGTTCATAGCAGCTCCCTCTAGTGTACCACATGTACCATTGCTGTCAATTAAACTCAATTTAATTTATAACTGGTGTATTATTGATCATCAGACAGTTTATTCATTAAACTGTTGCGAACAAAGATTGTCGGCAAAGGAATATTTTTAAATATGGATGTTGATGATTTCTCTCTTTTCAAGATGAGAGTTGAAAATGGCTCTAGTTATCAGAAACTTTGTTCAATTATAAAATAAAGTTGAGAGCTCGATGATCTATTGGAATATTATTCTATTATAATTCAAGGTACCAAAATTAGGAATTATGGAAAGTAGATAAATTATTCATCTAAGCGATTATAAAAAAAAAAAATTTTCTATGTATTGTACTATTAATATTAAAGGTTAATGTTTTGTTTACACTGTTATTTATTTTATTTTTAAATTTCCAAAAAATTTGTATAAAATCTAGTTTTTCCTTTTTAATATTTTTCAAATTGTAATAGTTTTTGTTGATGTGGGAGAAAAAGAACACTGTTTATAGATACTTAGCTATTTCTATTGAAACACAACAAAGACATAGTCGCGTGTTTTTATATCTGACATATTTCATGAAATCCGGGATGTTAGGTTTTTTATCACTGTTTAACTTTCTCGATGTTAATAAGAGAAAATAAAAAAAGTAATATTTATCAAATTCCTCTACATTTGTTATCCTGCAGAATTATCACGCTACTTCTACCACCTATTCTCAATTCTTTGTCCCAAGTAATTGGAGCGGGTTCAAATGATCAGTCCTCTACAACTTTCTTTCATCTGTAGATGAAATTTTTGTATTACCTGTGGTTGTTATCCTTACTAACTGAGGATATTATCCACTGTAATAATGTAAATTCCAGTTTTTCTAAGCAGTTTGGTCCTTAAAGTCTCAAAAGCGGTGCAGATCGTGATGACATGCTCAGCAGTTTCCGGAACACAACAGGGATATTGAGGGTTAATTTCCTTCTCTAGAACATGGAGCTTGACACAAAATGCCTCATGCTTTGTAAGAAATCCTGATAACCATGAGGACCCATTTTTTAAAAAACATGATAGGTGATTGGAAAGTATTTTCTTGAGGTAACACCTTCGTCGTTACCCACTGTTGATTCCATTGCTCAATGTGTTTGTAATTACAAAAGTAATTTGTTATGATATCAAATGTTAGCCCTGATAAGCAACGATTGTTATTCAAATTTGCTTTTTATTTTTCCTTAACATAAAATTTAAATATTTATTATTACTTATGTTTTTTCTTAGTTTCTCATGAAAATTATTAGTTGTTATATATTAAGGATTAACTATGTAACATGTTTATTAGAAGGGTATCTTGTTTCTTTTTTTGATATCATAACCAAAGGTTATACTACTATGTGTACTTTTTACTTTAAACTGATACATCAATACCTATTTCAACTCACCTCATCAAGACATCAATTCACCTAGTTCGACTATTATTTTTACTACTTATTTGTTTTTCTCTTCGCCTCAGGGTGTTTTTTCTTTCGGGTATATATGTTTATATTTTATATTTTTTGTCTCTCTCTGTATCAATATGAGTATGTAGGTATACATAGTTCCTGTTCTTTTCCATTATACCACAAGTAATCATGAGATTTTATTTTATCTTAGTGTTTGCATATTATTACATGTTGTATTAAGTTATTTTTCTATTGATAGCCTATTGTTTATAAATTGTGTAGTTATGTATATATATATGGATATGTAATTTTTTTTTTTGGTTTATTTTTTAGTGGTTACATACTTTTTAAACAATGTATATACAATTTTATAAGTTAGTTTTTGGCCAGATTTCTATTTTATTTTGTATTAATTCATCATTGCTATTCTAAGGGGACTTAATCCCAGTATAAAGTTCAATTTTCTATTCTATCAATAGATAATAACTCGCTATCAGTGCTATAAAATATACAAGGTGAATTAGTAAGTCAAATAAGACTCTCTAATCATGGTCAGTGAAAATTATAAGTTTTAACTCTAACCACAATCAGAGGGTGAACCTGATGCCAAAGGTGAAGAAGTAGTTCTCAAACCTTATGCCATCGCTTTAAACTATTTTAGTATTTGCTGCTTTTAGTTTACTCAATGTTTCGTTGGAGGAACTCACCAATCCTCGTCTTGTCTATGTTTTATATTTAGACTGTTATTCACCAAAATATAGAAAAGGAGAGGAAGTTTTAAAAATAAACCATATTTTTATAAAATTAATTATTATTTCCTTAAGAAAAAAAATATTCATAAACACTATCTTCTTATAATAAAATAAATGATATATAATCTTATATAATACACTATTTACAATTGGTAGAAGTATATATAAATATATATACAGTTCATTCTTATCTAAATCTAATAATATCTATATACAACAGTAGTTTTAAAACAAACAAATTTCTTCAGTAATAAATAGTTATTATTTTACATATTTATAATCCATTTACATATGTATAATATGATACAAAATCTTCATATATACAATTTTAATCATTAAAGGAAAACTCCTTTTTAATTTGCTATAATTCAACTATAAAACTATTTACACACAACCAGTCTAACTATATAATAAAGAATATAGTTTATTTATTCAGTCTGCTCACAATAAAAATATTGCGCTTTTAAAAATAATAAAGATCAGAGCGAAAAAAATAAATAACAATAAAATATATATACATATATTTTACACAGGTTAAAAAAAAAACAAAAAAAAAAAAAAAATGCCTAACTACTTGTTGACTATTAAGGCTGCCTAGGAGTGAAGTTAAATATTTAGATTCTTCAAAAATCTATTAACACTTCAAACTATCCTTTTCTGAATAAAACGTACGAGGTCGTCTTTGTGAAGAACATCGTCCTGTCTTGGTTCACCCTTAAATCCTACACCAACTTGGAACATCCACAATATTTGGTACTTCAGGGAATCTCTGAAATAAATCAAAGAAACAGATATAAGATTATATCACACAATCTACAACTTAGACTACTGGAAAATTGATTGGACGCCAAACATTTTCGCAATTTTTAAGACTAGATGGAATTTGACATTAGATAAAAGTTACAATTAATTCATCATTCTAAAAGACTTCTATAATTTAATATATATTATTTGTAATTTGGAAGTTCAGATAAGCTTTATGATTGAAATTTGAGTATTTAACTGGTGAGATTATAAAATAATATTATAATAACAATTGATTGATTCATTAATTTATTTTTCTTAAACATTTAGTACAGACTTGTTAATAGCTGCATAGAAACTTTGTGCTTTTGATCGCTCTCCTCCACATACTATCTGAGGATAGTAACTGGCAACTGGTGGCCACTAAAGTGTTAATAATAGAAGCCAATACTGTCTGACCACTGACCACCGGAACCAGTTGCCACTAACCATCTCATGTAAGTAAACCTTAATATTAATAGATAAAATGTGAATGATACTTACAATGCACTTGCATCTGCTTCGACCGGGCGATCCCGTTCAAACAATGATTTTCCATTCTCAGAATTATAATAGTAATGACAATTATATTTTTTGCTTAGATGCCGCCTCCAAGGTTCTAAATAAACATAAAACAAAGTCTTATTTTAATTTTATATTTCTAATTAACTGAAACTATCATCTAAATTTGTTTTTATGTTATGAGTACTCTAGTTTCTAGGTTTGAGTAAAGCCTAATCAAGAACTATCAAGTTAGATATATGTATATATGCATGTATAATTTCTATATAATCCTTTAAAAATCCATATTCCATTAAAAATACACTACAACTATAAAATTATTTAAGTTCCAACAAAATATTAATCATTTGCCTTCACAGCAATCGTGGTAAAAAATAATTATAAATAAAATTTGTGAACAATTTTAATACTATTAATATAATAGTCATGCTGTCATTTAAATTAAAATGTGGAAGTTTAGGAGTTGACAAAGGTACTTAGACCCACTTCTATGTCCAGGCTTAAATTTTAAATTAACAATATTAAAATGCTTTATAATAAAATAATACACACCTCTTGTAGTTCTGATGAAGACCATTCCTTTCAGCTGCATATAGAAATTGTAGTCGTGATCATAAAGGCACGTTTGGTAGTTCGATGTTTTCAATAACTGTTCCTCAACCCTAGGACATGTCATATTAAACTATAATTACTGTTAAAAAAGAATCATGAAATGTTTATTTTTCTCACAACTGTATTATTATTAACTAACATTATATTAGCAAGGGATAAAACTATTATAATATTCATAATAAAGAATTGAATCTGAGAAAAAATTTGGCATTGATAATTGAATATTTTAGAAATTTAAGATTATAAAGTAATCTATGGACGAAATTTACCAACAAAGAAAGCAAACATTTAACCACTTTTTTAAAGTGCTTCTAAAAATTTTAATTAATTAAATTTTACTGGGAATGAAATACTTTTTTCAATTATTATATTGGATTATAAAAAAGTTTTTTTTTAAGCAAAGAATATAATGTAAAAATAAAATTATAATTACCTTTCAAATAAGCTGTATATATCCTTCAAAGGGGTTGGATTCTTCACACGGATCGGACACAAGTTATTGCTATTCCACTTCTTCAACGCTTTCAGGTACAAATTCAACTTTTCCAACCTCTGATAATAGGGATAGTGAGAGATCGGTTCATAGCCGAGAGAAAATCCATCAATGATATGAAAAGCGTTAACTTTAGTCTGCTTCATACCATTGCCTCTATATTCAGGCATGAATTCTCCGTAGATGAGAGTCCCTGGAGTCAATTCTAAATTAGGCTCGTACTCCCATTTAGTCTGAACCCAACGATACACCTTGTTTTTTCCTAGACCTGTAACAGTCATATCTATATAATAACTCTGCTTGCATGACATTATTTTATTAATTTGTAGAGTATAATTTATTAACGATTCAGACTGCATAAAAAAGAATGACCTGATTTTAAAACAATATTTTTGGAAGGAAATACAAACAAACAGAAATTGAATAGAATGTAAACATTCACAAAAATCTACAAAGTAGAAGCTATTTTATTAAAAGTCTTTAAGGCCCCCAACATTAGTCGCATGGCCAAAATCTAAATTTGTTTCCTCAAAAAAGAAGAATAGACAAAAAATGAAATAGTTTTGAAATAAGATATGTCCTGTAAAACTTTAAATTCATTTTTTTTTTTTTTTATGCTAATAACTACAAATGGTCATCCATGCTAATGTCCTAGCTCTTAATATAAATATCTTTGTCACATTTAATAAACAACAAAAATTGAAACTTACCTAATAAAAAGCAAATTTTATCTGATCCTAATGGTATGCAGTTCCAGTCTAAGATCGAATATTGGAAAATTTTGTCAATATTTTCAGGAACCAAGTTTTCGCCTTTGAGGTTCAGTATTACTGAAACTGAAGGTTCACATATAAATTAATTTGTTCAGAATGAAATGGTCTTAACACACATATCAGGCTCTATGAACATGATACCTACCCTCCTGAGGCCGATACTTGTCCTTTAAAATCAATTGCATTATTGTTTTTGCCACTTCCATGTCAGATCTCTGATCAGCTTTTCTTGGACCAGGAGGAACTTTCCACAGCTCCATGCACCGAGTCCTTAATTTATTCTGTAACCTTTCATGGAGGTTTGGATCTTGATAATAAGCAGCGATTTTATCTAAGTTCACAATTTGTTTGTTTCCAAATCTGAAAATCAAAGTAGAATATTAGAAATCATATTAGCAACATAAATTTAAAAATGAGACTGTTGACAACCAAAAAGTTTCAAGCCTAAGATACGACACTTACCTGTTATTGGAATCCCTTAAATAATTGAAGAATTCGAGATCATCCTTTATTATTTCAAGTGGCACGATTCCGTTAACATCAATTTCAGAATTAACGCCTAGGTTCCACAATCTCGAGTTGATTTCGAATAAGTAAGCTCTGATCGATTCACAACCTCTCATCTTGTGTTTGCAAATAATGTATCTGAATTAAAAAAAATATATATATAGCAAAAACAACTAATATGATTGTTATATAGTTAATGAAACAAGGTTGTTAATAGAAATAATACCTTTCAGAATTTGCTGGGCGGCTACTATTAGGCTTGAATATAGAAATTTTATTAAATGCTTTATACATTAAATAAATCAGTCCAGCACTGAATTCAGAAAAAACATCGAATATTTTACAGACAAAGTGGCCTTCTTCTCGAACTATGCTCAGCGCAACAAGGAATTGACAGAGATACAATTGTTTTGACAACAACTCTTGAATGTTTTCTTGCCCTTTTACAGAAAAACCCTAAAATGATCATTAAAAAAAAATTTTATTAGTGTAGTTATGAAAATCAATTTAATAAATACTTCAAAAAAACGAATGTATCTAATTTCTATACTTACTCCATCAGCCATCATAAAATGGACTCCTTTGCCATCTGTAACTCTCATTACAAAGTCGGTTAGGCTTGAAATATTGACGGGATCAAAAATGTTTCCATCCCCCTTTTCTCCTACGAGAACAAAATTGAATGAATACAGTTATGTCACATGAATAAAATAGTCACTCAATACATCAAGAAAGAAAGTTATCAAATACATTACTTACCATAATACGGTTCAAAAGTTTCACTAGGACCTGCAAGAAAATCTTGCAGTTTGAAATCGTTGTCTCCTTTCAGAGTAAAACCGATGCCTTTAGCATGCCAATTTTTCCTATGGAGAACATATTCAGAAAAGCCACCAGGGCCAGCACATACATCCGCAAAGTACAATAATTCGTTTTCACGAACCATCGGGCTCTAAAGATCATCAAAATAAAATTCATACTTTATTTATATTTTTATGTAAGAGATAAATGAGTAAGCAAACTTTGTATGGAATTAAATTTAAAGTAACTCAATAAAATCTACTAATAATTAAAATTAACACTTACATCATCACGGTATTTTGGATTCGTGAACATAAAGTCGTATGCGAAGTCCATATTAGCCATCTTGAGGGCAGCACGATTTAAAAATATACCCTTTCTTATAGTTTCAAAGGGATTACTTCGGCTAACAGCCCTCCTCAGCTCATCCTCAGAGAGGTTATCAAAAATATTCTAAAAAACAAAATATAGAAAATAAAACATTGTTTAACTTAGTGAAATTGTTGAATTATTTAATAATATTGATAGTGAAATCTTAAAACTTATTGCTGTTCTTGCCTTTTTTTTTAGAATGTTACTCAGTAACTCCTCATCTATGAATTCCGTCATAGTTTCAATATTCAAATTTTTGGGACCTTCATTGATCCAATCTTCCGCCATGGTTTCAAAATTTAACATGTGTATATCAAAATTTTCCAACCAGTCGACAGGTTCTCTTTCATTTATTTCCTTAAATGAAAAATAAAATTATTTTTTAATTCCAATGAAGAATGATTTATACAATTATATCATGTTACTATGACAAAAAACTGCATAAGCAAAAAGTAATAATTACTTCTAAAGAAGGGTCCCATTCAATTGTCTGGCCATCTAAACCAGGTAACGAAAGTCCCAAGCCCCGACGTCCCTTTTGATTTGAAAGTTCGACTGGCTCAACTCTACCTTGAGCATGTTTACCAAGACCTTCACCTTCTCGGTAACCCATCTTTTTCTAAAACAAGAAGAAGACATCATGTTGTTAGTAATTTTAAAGGATATGAATCATAAATAAAAACTTGTGGTAAGTAATACATACCATTAAAAGACTCCCTTTATTGCTTGCTTCAAGTCTCTTCTTGAGACCAGAAGACTCAACATAACCTTTTCTTTTTCTTTTATTATCTTTTTTCGAATAATCACTCTGGATCTGATCTGAGTTATCAGAACTATCAGACAGAGATGTAGAATAGTTTCCTTTTAGGGGCGCTAAACTTTCACTTTCAGTTGAATTAATACTTTTTTTAGAATTTGTTGCATGTTTTTTTTTATTTAGTTTATTATTTCGTGATTTTTCTTTTTTCTTTTTAGATTTTTCTTGAAATGAAGTAATTAAAGGTTGTTCTGATTCATTATACTGATATGGTGAAGAATTTTTTGTAGAATTATTTAATGAATATGACGGTTCATCACTTTTTTCAGAACTAAAAGAGTTATAAAAATGTGATGTGCTTTCGTACACTGATTGTGAATTTCTATCAGTGAGAGAATAATCTTGATATGTTTTTCCATCTTGCGACGAATGATAAGGAGAATCATCTTGATAGTGCATCGAAGCACTCTCAGACTCAACAACTTCCAAATAGTTGTCATCAGAAGACTGATGGCTTTCAGGATCACCAAAGGGCATTTCACTATTTGAACCTTCATCGCTCGAATCTGCAAGTTCACAAAGACAATATGAAACAATTGGCTTATTGACAGTAGAAATGCAAAAAAGAGCTGCTCAAAGGAATATTTAATATCATATTTATAATATTTCTTTCATAATAATATCTAATGTTTACATAAACATTCATATTACAATACTAATAGTAAACTGAAGAATAGTGAATGAAATAGAAAATGGAAGAACATAAGTTCAGGTTTTTTATCATTGATAGACTTTATTTTATTTTAAAATTTTATTTGTAGAGAAGATTTCGGTATCTGTGCACCAAATTGATCTCTATAATTATTATATTCCAATTAGAATTAATTAACAGTTAATTAATAGCATTAAAAATAAATGTATTACATAATTTTTTAAATGTCATGCAATTATTATCACACCACGCTGTACATTTTATTAGTTTTGATAAGAACAGTGTTCTATTCTCATGTCAATTTTCTATGAGAGTAGGACTCCTTTTTGTCGAACGCCATCTTACTGAGAGTTGAGGATTTACTGTTAGCACTCTCTATATTATCGCGGGTGCTGTCAGTAAATCGTCAGCACTCAGTAAGATAATGTTTGACAAAGAAGAGTCCTATTGTCGGAGAAAATTGACATAAGACAAAGAACAAGAACACTGTTCTTATCATATATGTTTGTTAAATAGACAAAACTAATAAAAGGTATGGCTGATCTGATAATAATTGCATGACATTTAAAAAATTATGTGATACATCTATTGTTAATGCTATTACTTAACCATTAACTTATCCTAATTGAAGTAATATAATTATAGAGATGAATGTGGTGCACGGACACCGAAAGCTTCTCTACAAATAAAGTTTTAAAATAAAATAGACTGTCAATAATTAAAAATTCTGAACTTTTTTAAGAACATAAAAAGTCTAAAGTTAGCTAATAATGGAAGAACATTTTGAGGAAAAGTATTGCTAAAACTTATTCAGAAGTATTATGAGCATGTTTTTACGAAGAGCAGGTTTTCATCTAAGAAGAAATTTCATTAAAGACAAGAAAGGCAACCCATAAGACGATGTAGGAAAAATATTAGCAAAATGGGCAGCTCATTATCAGAAAACTTAGGATATGACCCAGGAGTTGGAGAAAAACTGAATAACTGATAAGCAACACTAGTAACACTCCAAATGATGAGTAGAACTTAGATAAGCTGTGTGTATAGCTGTAAATTTTGTATTATGATATAATTGCACTAGTGTGTTATTATGGAATGCTTAATATAACAACACTATTTCGTACACCCTTCTGGCCATAGTGGCATGGAAGGGTAGAAATAAAAGGATGAGGTAGATATGATTCCGAAAATGGAATTATTGATATTATCTCCCAGCTCAAAAAACACAAAATTGTTCGGACTAGATGGGATTAATTATTAATTTCTAATGAATGAATGCACTATAAAAAGCTTCAAGAATGTTTCCAATTCCTAGTATGTCCAATACATAAATAGAGAAATATGAGTTTAATGTATTAAGGTAGGTAGGGTAAGGTTTAGGGTAATAAATTGTTCGATTATTTCACCTGTTGAATGTAGTAATCCTAAGGGGATTTCATTGATTAAACATTGTGTACAAAATCTTATTAATCAATTCCAATTAGCAGAAGACTTAAAAAATATTCTGGGTTAATTACAGTAAAGATCAGAAAGGTGAATTTCGGACCAGAAAAAAATAAAGTGCCTGAAGAAGATAGATTACTCTAAATAAATTAAAATGATTGGCTGGGATATATCCATACCTAGCTATTGAATGGTATTCTTGAAATTCAAGAAAATTCAAAATAGGAGAAAGCCTTAGACAAAAAGATTAATTATCTAAAGAGCTTTTTAATCTTGTATAGGAAACAGTCATATGGAAAATAAAAAACAAATGATGGAAGGACAGTGAAATATTGTATACGCAACATTTAGCAAATGCAGACATGCACTCTGCAACCCCAACCCAATGATAACAGAAGAAATTGGGTAAAGAATCGAAGCTCTAATGAATTGAAATCTCTGGGTAGTACGATCACTTATGAGAACAGAATAGAAGTATATTAACACTCGTGCAGCTGCAGAAAATTGATGTCAACTTAGTAAAGCACAGTAGTCAAAAGAAGGAAAGGTAACCAAAATAAGCTACAATCTCAACAAACTTTTAATAAACAAAAATGGACTGAATATTGTTAGGTCTAAACTGAAATGAAATACTAGAGTGCCTATCAAACAAAAATACTATTCAACTCAAATTCAACTCTACTGTCAAATTATGGTTATGGATTACAATTCTAGGAATATGAAGAAACTTAAAAAAAAAAACACTATAAATTTATCGAGTGAAGTAATATGATTATGTGCATAAATACATAGATCATTTTGAAAAAATAATATAAATAAATACAAAGAAGTTAAAGCACTACTTTAAATAATCTTAATTAAATGTGTGTGTATGTAAATATACTTAAATATTCCATAGTCTAAGTTACACAAATAGGATTTAATATGAATATATATATGTTTTCCGAGAAACATATTTTTTAACAACAGCAATGCTAAAAAAATTATAATGTTGGAGAAAATCAAAAAGAGATGGTCGGTGAAAGACTGTCAAATAAGAAAAATATACTAAGGTAAATCGTTAAGGCACACATTGAAGCAGTATTATGTTTATAACTATGTGTATCTTTTATGACCAAACCTCAACCATTTTTCGTTGTTAAAAGGTAAAAAAACATTATTAGAAGCAGCGCTTCGGGACCGGCTAGGACAAGTCAAATTAAACTTAAAACAATTATTGTATTTTACCTCTATAACGTCACAGTAATATTGGTAATAAGTTAAATATAAAAAATAAAATGATATTAATGTTTTATTCATACCCACCAATCTCTTAAATGCCCATTAAATCGAAAAACATAAATATATTAATAATTAAGGTTTTGATGAATTGAAAGATCAATGCACATATCTTCTTAATCTATATCTGATAACAGATAAAAGGTGATCCATAAAGAAACTACTAAGTACCTTTCAATGGCATTTTAACTGTTCATTCATTTTAAAAATTGTATCATATTTTTGAAAGTTTAACCGATATAAAAAACAGAAACTCTACATCATAAACTATAAAAAACTATATCTGAATATCAATTAAAAAGGAACATTAATTTGCTGCATGAATCAAAACATAGAATAGAGGAACTGTTGAAATCACAGGTACGTTATTAAGGGTCACTAACACTAAAAAGTTTAAAATAAAAATAATGCGAAAAAAGTGAAAATACAAAACTAGAAGTCAATATAGTAATTATTATTATCAGAAACATGCACCATATCAGAGTAATATTAGGTAAAATCAAGAATAGAACTTATTAAATTCACTTATTGTACTGTGTAACATAGTAAAAGTGCAAAGTAACAAGATTTTATTAGGCGTTCTTAGCTTAACAAAGATAATCACTATCACTATTTAATGACAGGAGAAAAGTTTTTTGTTTGTTTTTTATAAAAAAAATGTTTTGTACTACTATTAGTGATTAAAAAAGCAAATAGTTAATTTCATACTTTTTAAAGAAGTCCAAAAACAACAAAGAGCAACTATTTCATTTATTTAATAAGTGCAGCTCTAGAAAGGAGCACAGCTTCAAGTACATGAAGTAAGAGATGTAAACAAATACATAAAAACATATAAGTACTTGCTTTTAACTATATTATGTTTTTTAAGATGGATTGTAGGAACTAGATTTTTATTAAATTGCATTCTTTTGTATCTCATTTTTTAATTTATACTATTCATTGAACAATATATACAAATATTGACAAGAGATGTATTATAGATGATGTAAAAAAACTAATGTATAGAAAATGAAGTAGTATCAACAGATAAAATAAATAAGAAGTATATCAGAATGTAAATGATTGGGTGGTATCAAAACTTTAACGAATGTCTGAAATCCAAATGTGGCTACAAAAAGAACTGATGAAAATAAAAAGTATGTGCAGAACATCATTCGGTTATAACAAATCCTTTCCTTATAAACAAGAAGTAAACATTGGTAGGAACTTAAACTGAGATAGAAAATATTGGTACTTACCACTGCTCGCTGACAAATTCGACATTGTGAAAACGATGGGCGATACGCCTGGAAGACTCTGTCAAACACAAACTCGCACTTAGGTAAACACGAACGGACAAACAAACACACGGTGACACTGTTCACAGTAAGACAACATATAGCAGACTGACAGGTTGCCTAGTCTAGTTTATAACCTGCGATACCCCAGAGAGGTAGAACCCCCACTCTCTAGAGCACCCCCAACCAATAAGGCTCTAGGGACCAGTTTGGCCACGCCCACCAAACTCTTCTCAAAAACCTAAATTTTAATAAACGTTATAAATATTTAATTATATGAATCTCACCTCCATTAATAAAAGACAAAAATAAGAATCATTTCTTGAAATATTGATGGGATTACTTAAATATACATACATATAAATATCAGTAATATTTATATGTTATTATAATTTATATTTATCCACTATATCCAGAAAAATATAAATTGTTGTAATCATTAAAATGCATTATTTTATATGTTTATTTAATTTTTGAAATATAGGTTATCTATTTTATCATTTGCAGCAACTAAATATTTAAAGTTTAGTTAACCATGTTTTTACTACATTGTGATAGAGGGAAAAAATGTATCTCTGTATTTTCATGTGGGCCATTATAGAGGAAATTGAGCCTTTTATACACTAATCAGGATTGTATTAGTCTTATTTATTTGTTAGTAAATCTTAACCTAAAATTACGATATCAGTAATTTTTTTTTACCATGAATTTATTATGTCCTTTCGTTTGATATTTTGTTTTAATGTTTGTTAAAAATTGTTGTTTATACAATTATTCATTTTATTAAATAGCCTTAGTTTGGTTAACTTATAAAAAAACAAACGCCTACCCTTATTTAATAACATTTTGTGCCAACTTTCCACTTACACATGTACTATTAGTAATAGCTTAAATATTTGTTTATTTATAAGATTTTGTAAAATACTGTACGTTTATAAGAACAAGATGGTTCCTTCTTTTTAAATTTACGCTTTTTAACTATTCATATCTTCATTAAAACACACAAAACCAAACGTCCGAAAAACAAAATTAAAATATCTATTGATGGCCAAATTAAAAAGGTGATACTCTTCTATACTAGATTATTCTTACTGCAGAAATATTTAAAAAAATCTGATGAGCGCAACACACAACTTTCACTTACCGCTCAACTTGGAATAAAAATTATTTTCTGGCCATATTGGTCTATTATTAAATTTTGAATTTCATTTTAATCGAAATGAAAAAAAAAATTCGAGTGCTTAAACGAAAATTGGAAAAAAAATAAAAAATCCAAGAAGGAATCAGTAATATACGCACAAAATATTACTATTTCAAATTCAATAATTTAACGATCATTGAATTTGTATTAAACTTTTCGATTACATTTAACCGAACCTTGTTAACTGTTTCAGTAAATATAATTTATATATATTTATTCAACGATTTAAAAAAAAAAAAAAGAATGGTATCTTCCTTGAACAGGAGTAACTAACTCTCCGCAAACATTTTTATTTAGCCTAAACCGTTCCAAAGTGTTTGGCATACACTATATTTTCTAATATTTTACTACTTTTAGTTCAATTTTTTGTACTGAATTTTCTAATGATATGTATTGTCAGATTAAATAAAAATGGAAGGGGAAAACTGCTTTGTCCTAAGTCTTAACAAAACATAAAACTCTGGAATAAAAATAGTTAATGTAAAATATGATTATTTAAGTATTTATTTAGTTCTAACCACCCACAAAAACTAATATGGATCAATGAAAAACGAAAAAAAAAGTCATTTTTTTGAGTGCTTAAAAATTATAGACGAAAAGTGAGTGGAAAATAAAAAATCAAAGATTATAAAAATCCTAGAAGGAATCTGCATATGCCCAAAATATAACCATTTCAAATATAAAAATTTGAAAATTATTCAATTTATATTAAATTTTTCGATTACATTTAGCCGAACCTTATTAAGTGTTTCAAATAAGATATAAACTGTTTCAGTAAATATAAGTTATATATATTTATTCAACAATATTAAAAGAAAAAAAAAATGGTATCTTCCTTGAACCCTATGTTCGTATGAAATTCAAGAACTCGAAAACAAATGTCATAATAACAAAACACTTTTATTTTACAACATATATATTCAAATTTTTACTGCCAAGGGTTGTTGGCCTTCTGCCTCTTGAAAAAAAGCGTTTGAACCCAACAGTTGGAGCCGCTGGATTTCCAGGTAAGGAATTTGGTACACTGACTGCAGGGAAAGTATCCATTTAGTGCGCTCATAAAAATTCTATGCGAAAAAAAAATTCTTTTATGGGTGACGAGGTCAGGAATGATGATTTATTTTACTTATAAAAGCACTTTGAGTTTATATAGCCCTAATCAATGATAATTGAGAATGAACAAATTAAAAAATTATCAATGAACAATTTATTTAATTTGTATTAAACTTTTCGATTACTTTGAACCGAACCTTGTTAAGTGTTTCAAATAAGTTATAAACTTTTTCAGTAAATATAAAATATATATTTATTCAACAATATCAAAAGAAAAAAAAAATGGTATCTTCCTTGAACACATTCTTAAACTAGACTACAGTTAACTCACTTTTAGAAAAACTGCCTTGTTTAACATGCATATAAGCCCATTTAATTAAGATGAGATTTTTTTCCAAAATAAGTTAGATGTCCATCGGTGTAAGTAGTTATGTGATTAGATACTCATATACTTCGAATTACCCGTATGTTTATCAAATTGTATATTAATTGTCAAATCAATATTGTACTAATATTATAGCAGTACGCCAAATTTATTTTTTGTTCATAGAATGTGTATATTATTCATTATGCACTAGCGGATCAAGGATTTAATTTTGGGGAGCTTCAGCACGAAATTTTTTTTCGAAATCATAAAATTTGTAGTAATTTTCATCCATCCTCAAGAAAAATATCAATTAAGGCTCAATATCAAATATTATTATTATCAGTTATCAGTCATCATTATCATTATCATTATCACTTATAAATATCATTATCGTTATCATTTAAAATTGATTAAGGCTCTGTATACGAAACGAAATTGTGGGATAATTTCATACCATAAGAAAAATATTTTGTTCAAAATAAGATCATTTAATGTGATATAAAATCAAAATAACTCGGTATCATATGATGTCAATAAGTAATTTTCCCTGTTGAAAAATAATTAATTCATGCCCTAAAATTGATCTATGCCAGTCTAGTTCATTATAAGAAAAGAAAAAAAAAACGTTTTCAATGAAGTAAAGATTTTTAGTTTTGAATTGTGTTTTTCGGAATTCGTGTCTGCCCTCTGCATCAACCATCTCGGATGGGCAGACAAAGATAGTATTATATAAAATCCTTATTAAAACAAACTAAAGAAACGTCTTAAAATAATATATTTTAGCGTTTTTAGTCACCGCCATGATTTTATGAAGGCCACCACTTGGGCTAGTATATTTTAGTGGCCCAAGTGGCGGTCTTTGATTTTTGTTTAATTTTCTCTCAGTTTTTGTCTAAAATTTTAAGAACTCGAAAAAATTAAAAAAAAAAATCTATTTCATTTTTCCTTGGTCCACATCTGTTTTTGGCTGAGCTAGATACTTAAATAATCACAACATGAACTCTTTTTAAATTACAAAGTATATGCAGCCTTAAGCACTCGATTAGATTTAATAAAACCTAAAGAATAATTAATATATACTATTATTTGAAGACTTTTTCTTAACGATAACGATGATTAGTAATGATAATTGATAATGAGCACTAATTGATAATTTTCATGGGGATGGATGGAAATTACTACAAATTTTGTGATATTTGAAAAAGGAAATTGAAGCCGAACCCGTGGCAAAGTTTTTACTTTTCCATTTATATAAATATTCATATTTTAGGATTTATCCGATTCGAACCGAAAATAAGAATAATGTATATATTATTCTTTTAAATAAAACTGATTATTCAAGATAGTGTTATTTTGTAACTATTTCCTTAGGAAATTTTTTGTTTTAGAAAATTATTAAAAATGTCTGGTTGATAATTCCTATACTCCCTCAATACAACGCAAGTAGGAATTGTTACAAGAGGCAATGAAGTAGCATTTTAATATGAAATCAATGAAAGCAAAAAATAACAATTCGTAAGAATTAAAATTTAAGTAACAAGGGGATGCAATGGATGTGGGGCCACAATTTCAATGAAACCTTTTGTTTGTTATACCAGGTCGAAAAATATTTGGTCTATGTCCGAAGGGTCTTGCCAATGCGCCCTAGGAACAAAGAAAAAAAAATGTATAAACTATTATACAGCCATAATTGATAATGTTCAAGAGGATAGATAGAAGATATTACATGTCATATGGTTTACAAAAAAAAATTTCGAAGAGGAATCGATGGCAAAATTTTTATTTTTCGATTTCTATAAATATTCATATTTTACGTTGTTTTTTTCTTATAATGAAGTAGACTGGCATAGATCAATTGTGACCATGAATTAATCCTTTTTCAACACGGAAAATTATTTATTGACACCATGTGCTACCAACTAAGGATTTTATTTTGAACAAAATATATTTTTTTAATGGTATAAAATTACCCCACAATAGCTTCTAAACATACTGTCCATACTCAGATTATATATATATATAGTTTGGAATATTTCTATGAATATTAAGAGCATAAGGAAATAGAGCTCTTCAGTTTTCTATATTTGAAAAAAATTTCGTATCTTTACCTGAACTTTCACCGATGATTATTACTTGATGTCTTATTATCATAATAAATGTCCGTATTATAATTATGGACATGGTCACTTAATACAATAATAGTGAAGCCTCTATAAAGATCTGTGAAAGATATTTGCACAATATGATAGAATTTTGTCAAAACATTATTTTTTAATAGCTTATATAAATAAAATGTGTATTATTATAATCAATTCACTGGAATATAATCAACATAATAGGGAAAATAAAAGAAAAATTTGTATTAAATTATTGTAATTATTTTTGATAAACATACGGGTACTTCGAAGTGTATGAGTATCTAATCACATAACTACTTACACCGATGGACATCTAACTTATTTTTTTGGAAAAAAATCTCACCTTAATTAAATGGGCTTAAAGCATGTTAAACAAGGCAGTTTTTCTAAAAGTGAGTTAACTGTAGTCTAGTTTAAGAATGTGTTCAAGGAAGATACCATTTTTTTTTCTTTTCATATTG